AGGCATTGCTTCACCCGGGCGTTCGCGCTGCAGTCTCCATAGCTCTACCATAACTGTTGACGAAAAGTCGCAGGAGGCGTTCCCAAACAGCTCGTCTGCCACCATACTGCTGGTGAATTTAGGTTCCCCTACCTTCCCCTAGCATGTTGCGAAGGTGAATCCTATGCCTCTCGATCCTAGGGTATACGAAGGTGACGTGCTTTGGGTCCTTAATTACACCAACACCACAGAAGGTACATTCGGCTCCGTCATCGTGACCGGAGCGGAATGAATAGCTATGAAACCAGCCGTATCCGCTTAAGATTTGTGAAAGATGTATTTTAGGCTTTGCTGCCTCGGGTTGGAGCGTAATGCTCTCCGCAGTGAGGGTATCACCGTCGCACTTGTACCATCTGCTCTCGCGCTCCGATATATAGTGCTCGCCTCGTTTGCCAACAAATCGATTGGCACCATGTCTGCGGTGACCAGGGCTGCGTCGTCTGATACAGTCCTGAACGCGCTGCATACGTGCAGAGCGCCAAGACGATCCAAGGGCTTTATGTAACTTTTTATTTTTGCTGCCTCAACCCCGACGGGAGCTCCGTATAGCATCATTGTCCGTGTGACACCCGTTAGGAGAAGTCTGCTTCCTTGCTTTGGATTGCGGGTGTTCAACATTATGCGCGCTGGCATGGGCTAGGTGCTTGCGGTAGGTTATTCTTGTATCCATCATGACGCCCAAGTACATAATCACACCCTTGGACTCCAGCACCAGATTGCCGATGGTGACATGTGCTACCTCCACCACTTTGCGGCTGCTTATTAAGACGAGCTCTGATTTATGTGGTGCCAGTTCTAATCCCACTGTGTTCATCGAGGCTTTAATTTTACTGATGGCAACGTTGCATTTGACCTCGACATCTGCCAGATCCTTTACGACCGCTACTATGGTAACGTCGCCTGCGAATGTGACAGCTTCCTTACCTGCTTGTAGATTTAGCCTCAAAATGCCGTTATACATTGTATTCCACAGGAGTGGCCCCAGTACTTAGCCTTGAGGCACTCCTACAGAGACCTAATCCATTTTAGTGCCAGTTGCCGTTTAGTATATTAGCACCCTATTGCTAAAATAGCTACGAATACATTGGTTGTGGTATGCGGTAATACCTAGAACTCCAGTCGGCCGAATTAAAAGCATTTTGTACGTCCAGCATTACCACCAGGCAATACTCTTTAGTGCCACCCTTCCAGCGTGTCCCTGTAATAGCGTTAGACTACTTTACCGATGGCATCAATCGTTGAACGCGTCTTGCGGAAACCATATTGATTTGGGGATAATCCGCCAGCAGCGCTTAGGGTTGCCTCCAGTCCCGTGCAAAGTAGCTTCTCTAGCTCTTTCCCCCCGTGTTCAGCTGGCAAATTGGTATATAGGATGATGCCTCGTCAAGAGGTTTACCTGGTTTCGGAAGTAATAAGAGCTGTTGGACTTTCCAACAGTCTGGGAAGACTCCTGAATTCATGTAATTTTCAAAAAGTGGTGCCTAGGAGCTGGGATGTAATGCTAGCTGGGAGATAAACGCCTGTCCGCATCAGTGCAATATCCTCATTCCACAAAAAAACAGGATCATTGTGGCGAGGATTTGCCCTCCTCTTCAGCTTGCTCATATCGCATGCAGCGTGGAGATGTTACACAGCTACCTACGCCATGGTATGAGGGTTCCCAGCTAGGCTAAGTGCAGGAAGGGCGTCCGCAAAGGCAGCAGGGTTAAACGTATTGATGCGATACGAGTACTCCGTGCGCGGTCCATGCCGCTAGCAACGCGTCCTTTCCCCGATTGTGCAGATTATTGCATCGTCACCACTAGCCGTATTGACGTCACTCATAGACCACGACGCAGAATTGAACAGAGAGCTGCTTACGAACGTAAGACCGATTATAGAGCTTGAGCCGGCTCTACTAAATTTAGGTTGGGTGCCTGTGTTTAGCAGGGAGATATCCATATTTGCAAATGTTTCTAGTAGTATACGGTTACGAGTGTTTGTACAAGTACTGCCCCAATCCACCGCCCAAGCGTTAAAATCGCCGACCAAGATAATCCTTCGTCGATTCTCTGCATCAGTCACCAGCTCGTCCAAAGCTGCTACAATTTCAATGATCGTCAAGCTAGGAGCCAGGTACGAACTGTAAAACCACAGGTCGCGAACTCTTGCGCGCACAAACGTTCTGTCTGCCCGTACCTCATCCAGATGAATCCCGCGGGGTCCGCAGACTCATAGCGCAGCCTTGCTAGATTGGTCATCATTGGCCATCTGGGGTCTTGTCTATATGGCTCGCTCAGGACTGCCAAGTCGACCAAGAGCTCCTGTGTTGTTTTGTGCAGCAGTTCTAGTGCCGCATTACAATGGTTCAGATTCAGCAGGATGAACTTCAATGTTTCGCCTGACGCACAGCTTCTTTAAACGGTGGGCATTTGAAGCTGCCGGTGGCGTGGGCATAGTTCTGTAGTCCTTTCCTACAGCATAGCAGACATTTTGGATCCTTACTACAAGTCTTTGCAACATGGCCCTTCTCGCCGCATTTAAAGTAGTTCTCTTTTAGGTCCTCACTGTTACTGCATCTTCCTGCTATGAGCCCGTGGGCTCTATGGTGATTTTGGGACCTCCGCGGTTAGAATTGCTACCGCTTTTGGGGGTGATCGCCGACCACCGAGCTGCGCAGAAAAGCTTGTCCTGTAGCCAATTTCCCAGGCAAAAAAACAACATTATGGGGAGCTCAAAAATTTTGCGTCCTCACTTTACTGCAACTCACAACTCTCTTGCTTGTTGTCTGTGTACTTATGTATGTGCTGTCCGTTGTCCTAAGCTGTTCGTTAATTTTAGTGTTCTTTTTAATATAAGGCAAAAACAAAATTTAGATATATTTATTATAAAAATTGTCTTATGCTCCAAATTTCCGCTGAAAAACAATAATATACTAGGGATGTAAATCGAAGGGAAAACATCGATGTTGATGTATATCGATGCCTCTTTATCAAAAATCGATGCATGGTTGCTGCATCGCAAATAAACATCGATTCATTGATGTTTTAAAAAATTAACTTTACATAGAAAAAAAGCGATAAAAAGGGGGAGAAAATCAACAGCGATGTTGGAAAGAAAAATGTTTATATATCAAGAGAGGCTGTCGTAGTATGTTGTTAATCGAAATAGTACTCGTAATATTGACTTGATTGGCAAACTGTTTTATATATATATATAGAAATAACGCAACGTTTTCAGATAGACTATGTGCAAGAAAGGAGAATAATTTTAAGAGTATATGCTAACTCTAAATTCAACAATCTATCATTTCGTGCCTTATTGAGTCAATACGCAATAAACATCTATCAATACAATATCTAAATAATAACATTTTATAATTTATTGAGATCAATTAGAACAAATCATATACATATGTACATATACACATACATACATCTGCCCGCAATACGAAGCAGAATATGCGTAGCTCCGTTATTCGGTTTCTGCTTTACTATCGTCTACTCAGTCGTTGCCTAGCAACGCTAACTGTAAACCTTTGGCGATTTGATTTTTTAATTGATTGTGTTTACATTTTTCCACGGGAAAGCCCCGCATTTTCATGCCCCAGGAACCCAATCATATGAAAATATCAGATTTTTCGTAAAATCTTTGGAGCCCGCTTCCCCCCTTTGGCGCTCGAATTTTCCAAAACCCCTTCTTAGTGCACACTTTCACCGTTTGGGCTGTGCCTTGATTGCCAATCAGTCAGTCGGTCAGTCAGGACAAACTGTTTTAAATAGAGATAACACAAAATAGCTTTTGGATAAAAATAACGCAAACAAAAATTCTGCATGAAAAATACTGTTTGTATACTAAGTTGTTCGGAACTGTTTGATATTTAGCGTTGTTTGTTAGTTTTTGTTGCTGCATATGGCAAGTAAAATCATAGTAGATATTGTTATGTTATAGTTATTCGTTTATAGATTATAACAAGTAAAAAAGCTAAGGTCGGGTGTCCCGACTTTGAAATACTCTGTACATACGTTTACAACAATTATACAAATTTTAAAAATTAAGAATATTAAAAAAAAAATTGGATCGATTTTACCTCTCTCGGTATTCGGACGCACGTAAAAAGTGTATAATTGCACATATACATAGCAATTGCGTCAGATTTATCATACAATCTTTTTAGCCCGTTTTCACCCCTTTGGCGCTCGAATTTGCCAAGCCCGCTGTTTAGTGTTCACTTACAGCACAAAAAAACAACTTGTGTCTAAATTTAAGCTTTTTAGGAGACACGTGAAGAGTTTTGTGAGGAGGACCATGTACACGTTTCGCATCGACACACTGTCTGAATCCGGAAATTTGATGAGCTTCAGACTGCGAGGACCGAGCTTTACTGCTTAAAAGGAGCCTTCGTCAAAGGTGCATGATTGCGCATCTGTGGCGGGATTCAACACTGGCCTCTCTCTGGTCTCGCAGGGAATAGAGCTTATAGTGCAGCCAGATCGAATTATAGTGCACCAGTGTCTATAGCTATACATTGCGCATTGCATTACACAGGCAGAAGCCGCCAGGAGCTCAAGCAAATGAAGCAGGACAAAAATATGTCAGCCCTACGCAATGCTGAAGAGCGGTGTGCCCAACTTGTGGTAATGGCCATATGATCACTTGCTGTAGAGGCGTCGATTATGGAACCAAAACTTTTGACCCGCTATTCAATAGCGTAGCCTGAGAAATCTGCCAGAACTGATAGACTAGGTGGGAGGTAACAGATATATATCCAAAGGTAACTAATAACTATTGAGGGAGGTGTATCAGAATAAAACATAAACTCGTCTCTTTCGCAATTAAGAGGCGGACGAGCATTTGTATTTGAGAACAAACATTTGCATTAATACTAGTTAATGCCCTTTTACCTTTTGGGTACAGTATATAATAGAAACTGTGTATTAGTATAACATACAAAAACATAAGCAATTAAAAGACTCTCTTACCTTGAACGTACAGCTGATAAACAATTTGATCGGATCCAAATGTATTTCTAACCATGCAAGAATAATTTCCTTCGTTGGAACGTTGAACGTTGCGTAGACTCAACGTGTTATCGCTGCTTATCTCATAATAAACTTGTTTTTTTTCTCGAGTGTTTAGTACCTTCCACTCCGGTTTAGCCTTCGGATTACCAACAAAAACGCACGTTAGCTTTATATCCGCTCGCCAACTAGCACTTAATGTCTGGCTAAATGATATGATTGCCGCTGGCACTGATGTGCTGGGTACTAGCTTTATAACAGGTGTACTTGGTCCTTGACCAACTCGTGTGGATGCTGTTACCCAAGCTTCATACGTTTCACGCAAATTAAGGTCTCTAGCTTCAAAATGCTGATTGTGTGACGGTAAAACTTCTTTGATGATTTTCAATTCCAGTCCCTTGTCAAGGATTCTTATATAAACATTATACTTTGTAATTATACCGTTGGGTCGTCTAGGCGGCAGCCAGCTAACAATTACTGAGTGATTAGAGCTAACAACAGACTTTATTCGCTCGGGCGCGTCTGGCACTGCTTCCTCCGTCATACACGACACTACAGGACTTACAACACCTTCGCCAGCATGCGTAAAGGCAAGCACTTGCACACTATAGTTCGTAAAAGGATGAAGCCCGTGAAGAACTGTGCTAAGTGCTGATGTAATTTTAGTTTCTGTAGCGCCATAATCATTATCTATATATCCTGGCTCGTACAGCAACTTATAGCCTTGAATTATGCCATTACTTGCTTCTTTTGGTGGCGAGTGCCAAGATATTTGAATATTATGTGCAGTTAGTGCTATGCAGGATACTCTTTGTGGGGGAGCAGATGGTACATCCTCTAACGTATGACCCAATACCACTTCACTCGGTGGGCTATCACCTTTTATGTTGAAAGCAGATACGGTAATTGCATACTCCGTATATTTCTCCAGACCAGTTAAACGAAACTCATTCAGTCCTTCTTTGGTGAGAGTGCTGACTTTTGTATAATTTCGAAGACTTCCAGGAGCTGCGTTGTTTTTATATGCAATTGTGTAACCGAGAAGGTCTCCATTCCATGATTCGCGCTCAGGGGAATGCCAAGTTATCAGAAGCTGCAGTTGTTCAATTTAATTCATTAACAAGAATATATTACTGTTTTGCAAAAGCTATATCTATATAAATGTATGACTAATAAATATTTCTTAAAAAAATTTCTGCAAAAAAATCTTCATTCATCGCTTGCTAAAGCTCATTAATTAACAAGAGAGAACGCTACAGTCGAGCAAGCCCGACAGTAAAATACCTTGTACCCAGGTAAACTTCCGCCACTGAGTTATATGCGCACATAGCAGAAGTAAAAAGAGGACGAAGAACAGCGTACTTGTTGCTGCAGTTTGGTGGGGTTGTACTGTAGAGAATTTGTTTCGCTACTAACTTTTCTTAGAATTAACCGAAACAAAAGTAGACTATTGCGTATGAATTATGTGTGCAAAGTTTGGTTAATGTATCTGTAGCGGGGGAAGGGGGGCGAAATTCCAAAAAATAAAATAAACTCGTCCTTTCCCGGACATAAGAGAATCTGGATACCAACTTTAGTTATTCTAGCTTTTATAGTTTCTGAGATCTTTGCGTTCATCCAGACAGACGGATAGATAGACGGACAGACAGACGGACAGACAGACGGACAGACAGACGGGCAGACAGACGGACGGACATGTCTAGATCGATTTCTCTCGTCATGCTGATTCAGAATATATATACTTTATGCTTTATACTTTGCACAAACCTTACATACCCTTTTTACCCTACGGGTACAGGGTATAAAAATCACCGGTAGAGTTCTGAGTAAATGCTACTGAAAATCGTACAACGACACACGAATTTTATTTGTATTGTGTTTTTGCAACTATCTGCTTGTGCGTCACACTGGCGTCAACTACATGTATTGTGTTTTTGTAAATTCGCTCGGTATCCATCCTTTGCTTGTGTGTCTTTCTGACGTCACTTTTGTCACTCAAAGGACAAAACCGTGAAATGTATGAAGTTTTACTTCAAAAACACTAGCTTGTCCTTTCTCGGACTTAGGAGAATTTGGATAATAAGTGTGTTTATTCTACCTCTTACACTTTCTGAGATCCTTGCGTTCATACACACGGACAGACGGACATGGCTATATCGACTCGCCTTGTCATCCTGATCAAGAATATATATACTTTGTGGGTTACATACACTCGCACAAAACTAGTATATCCTTTTACCCTTTGGGCACAGGATATAAAAATATTGGAACCAAATTTTCGACATTCTCTTTAAATTATATAGCGATTTTGAGGATCCAGAGAGCTTGGACAATGATTTAGATAAGCTCATCTCCATCAAAATGGCTGTAATGCAAATTAATAATACTATACAGCCAGCGCTTTTGACACCTCAACACAAGTGACAAGAAAATTTGGCTGAATTTGCAACTAAAAGCAATCAGTGGAAACAATATAAAATGGATAATAAGACGAAAGTGCATGACATACATTGTTGAACACTGTGTGAAATATACTAGGGCAAGGCCAAGGCTCATGGATAGATCATGGAAAATCGACCACCTTTACGAGTGACACAAGCAAAACCGTTCTTAAACTCGGGAGTGGCCTACTGTGGGCCGTTTTGGATACATTTCAAAGGCCGTGGAAATAGGCCAACAAAAGCCTATGTAGTTATATTTTGTTTCTTTGCAACAAAGGTGGTAAACCTTGAGGTAGTCAGTGGCTTGACAACAGATGCGTTCATCAGAGCCCTAAAACGGTTCATATGCTGCCGTAGAATATGTAAACATATCCACTGGGACAACGCTACCAATTTTTTTGGGGCAAGGAATCAAATGGAGGACCTCATCGGAGCAATGTACTCATCCAAAGCCCAACAATCGAGTACTTTTAAAAGAAGACAACGTACCAGTTTTTCAATGGACAATCACCTTCGAGTGGTTGACATGAGAACATCAACTGGGACATATAAGCGGCCCATCCATAAATTGTCACCGCAATTTCCAGAGGAGAAGACGAAATATAAGCGATCAGTGGGGAGCAAAAATGCTACGCTACCGGAGGACCACCGAGAAAAACTAACCAAACTATCAGTTTGACACGCTGCATCAAAAGCTGGGAGTAATAGTACTCATACATATACTTGTATTACAAAGTCAGCAGAAACCTAGTGACACACATTCATAAATGCTAACCTGAATTTTGCAGTGTCAACATACAACCCGTCACTGCCGTGGCGTTCATTGCATTCAAGCCACTGCTTCCGTCAGCGTCTACGCTACCGCCGTCTTCACTGCTGCCGAGCAGCTGACCAACTTCAATTAGATATAAATAGCGTAACTATCTTTAAGCAAATCCGTTGTAGAAATATCATCTAACCAAAAAAGACATGATTAGTAGTTAATCTCTCCATCTCATAGTCCTCCTGGTTACAAGTGCCGGTTGCGACAATAATACTGCTACTAAATTATGTGCTAGTAGAACAAACATTCAGCTTTACATATAAATTTAAAAATTAATTCAAGTACAACAATAACTATGGCTTTCCTTGTAGCGACTACCTTTGAACCTAACTAACTCAAACAAAACCCAATTCGATTCCCGCCTTTTCATATTTTTACTTACATGCTAAACTCATACATCAACACTAACATGCTAAACTCATACATCTATCGTCACCCCGCTCGTAGCGATACCCGTTTTGCCGACGCCCTCCGCGGCATCCTCGGCGTTTGGTCCGGTTTGCCCGCCGGTCCTACCGCCGGTGCCTCCGTTGCCCTATTCGTCCAATTTTCGGGGTCGCAATCGTATGTGATTTGCGCCCTGCGAATTTTCCTCAATAGAATCTTTTGAGTCTCGCGTATTTGTGTCAAATAACAATCCACAATGACAAACGCGTGGGAGCGCTGCCACCCTCCGCGCTTCGCAACCTGTCGACGCTACCTATACCTCAACAGACAGTAGCTAGCGCTGCCATTCCCTCGTTATCGATGACAGCCCTTCGCTCTGACAACTCGTTATTTCCGACCTGCATGCTGATGCTTTACATAGTGGCCCTGGCACAACACTTACTGGCGCACATATCAAATGCTGCGGCGCCCCGAACATGGTGAAGTTCGGCACAAAGCGCAGGAACCACGAGGCCATCCCAATGCAGTGGCACAGTTGCTTCAAATTCGATGTAGGCTTTAGCTCGCGTATAGCTGCCACTTTCTCCAGATTCGTTTGGATGCCCTTCTCAGTCACCAGATGTCCCAGGTACCGTATGGACTTACGAAAGAAATAGCACTTATCCCTATTTACTCGCAGATTGGCCGCCCGCAGCCCCCACAGCACCTCACGGAAGTTGTCTGTATTCTTGCGCAACAGCATGATGGGCGCGCTGTTGGCGCTGCCGGAGCGCTCGATGCAGCCTTTTGCCGGCAGCTCGTCGATATCCTGGTTGATGACCTCCTGCATTGCAGGATTCCGCGGGTAATATCGCTGCTTAATGGGCCGCTCCACCTTCATCCGGATTATGAATATCGCCACCGAAGAGACCCCTGTGGAACTCTCAAAGCCAGTCAGCTCCGCCTCAAAAAACGTGGGCTAATATGGGAGCTGCCATCTGCGCTGTCTTCACTAATGCCGCATGCCGGGCCCTTTGGCTTCGCATGCGTTGCCCAAGCGGCTGCCGCTCGTCCCGCAGTTCCAGCGTCTGGCCACCCACGAACACTTGGCCGCCTGCTCTATGTATATAATCCAGCCCCAGTGTGAGCTCATTGATGGAGCCAGGGAGTGTCAGAAACGGCAATGCTACACGGATGTCGCCCACCGTTCTCTCCGCTATCGTCTCTTCGCAGACCCTCTTCTGTGTCCCATTAGCCAATGACACAGTCACGCCCACAGACAAATTTCGTCCGCCTGGTGCCAGCACCGGACTCACGAAGCTGCGTATCGCTCCGGTATTATTGACCGCATCTACTATCAAACTGCCGAAGTCTACTTGTAGCACGGCCCCTAGCGTACACTTTGCTGCTAGTTTTAGCCTGCCTTCATGGGCTCGCTAGCAGCCGGTGTGCGGCAAGCCCCCCTGACGTTGGCGGCTATGCGTCGACAGCATTCGCTTGCTCGCACGCCAGTCTACCACAGTCTCAACAATAGCTCTGTTGGGTATTCGGGCAAAATTCCACGCCGTGTCCTCCCATTCCGCAGCGCTTGCATATCAGCAGTCCCCGTCTCGGTGCTTCCAATGGAACTGCTGCCAAATACTTCGCCGGCTGTTCACACTCTTCGAGCGAGCGTAGCTCTTCAACAGCTGTGCGCAGCAGGTCTTCGCGGAGCTCCGCCCGCCGCTGGAACAACTCGAGTCTCCAACGCGCCCACTTCTTTGCTTTGCCCATGAGAATAACTGATAACATCGTCACCAAATCGTCAAATAGTACGCCGCTCACCTCCACTTTATTTCCTGGGTCTTGGAGGAAAGTTCTTGGTTCTGGTTCTATGATACCATTCTCTCCCTTTTCGATGTATGCATTCCCTCGGCAACATTCCAAAATGGGAAATCTAGGTATTTTAAAAAGTTTAAGCAAACTGGATCTTGTATGGACGTTTCAAAATACTCTATAGCCAAATCGAACATTCTTCTTCTAAATTCTCAGTATTACACTGAGTATCTTGAGCGCTGTAAAGCTCGTTTTGCTCAAGACAATTTTACAATTTTTGCTGACCGCAAACGTAAATCGTCAGCTTTGCCTTCTCCTTTTTTTTCTTCATAATGAAAATGCAAGCAACGATCGGGTATTGTTGACTTATTCGCTAAGTTTTTTCAGTCAACCTTTTCAACTATTAGTTCCAATGGTGATTCATACCCTTATAGAATTCTTTATTATAATTATATTTTTTCACCCATAATTAGCAGTTCCTGCATTCTGTCAGGTATTAAGTCAGTCAAACCTTCGTAATCTCCAAACAACATTCCAAGTTGTGTGCTCAAGGAGTGTTCTACCTCAATTTATCGCTTGATACTGCAGTTTTTCCAACTATTCGCTCCACAAAAAAAGATGCAAGGCAGACATTTCAAACTATCGAGT